ATATATATAAATTCCTAATACTTCCATTTTCTGAGAGTAGTACCCATAGGTGCTTATATCAGAGTTTGAATCTAGAAAGCAGTTTCATTTTCATCTAATCTAATTCCATTAGGAAGGCACACACAAGTTATTTGTAAGCAATGTGTATTATCCCTGTGAGTTAGCTTGGACCACCATTTTGACAAAGCCCAAAAGAATGTTGAGTTTGAGCTTAAAGAAATCACTCAGGGGATAGATAAGTGCTTGAGCTGCAAGCTTGAAGACCTGAATTTGAATTGCCAGTATCCATGTAAAAAGCCAGGCATGGCTGTGCATGCTTGTAACCAGTATTGGGGGATGGAGACAAGTGGATTCCAAAAACTCACTAGCCAACCAGCCTAACCAAAACTTTAAGCTTCCAATTCAATGAGAGGTCCTGACTCAAGGCACTAGGGCAGAAAGCAATAGAAGCCACCTCACATCCTGTTCTGGCCTCTCCACATGGGCTGTACACAGGGGCACACCATACACCACACACATAGTGTATGTATAGTGGTCAAAGAACAACTTGCAAGAGTCTGTTCTTTCCTTCCACTATCTGGGTTCCAGAGAACAAACTCAGGTCCTCAGGCTTGGAAGCACCCTTTACCCACTGAGTCATCTCCATGATAATTACACCCCAGATACTGAAAAATTCATGAGTGAATTTGTTTTTTAATATTTTGTTATTTTTTTATGTGTTTGAGTGTTTTGCCTGTATAACTTATGCTTTGCACACCTGTATCCTGCAAAGTCCAAGGAGGTCAGAAGAGGGTGTCAGATCCCCTGGAATTGGAGTTAGGAATGGTTGTTAGCCGCCATGTGGGTGCTGAGAACCAAACCCAGGACCTCTGCAAGAGCAGCCAATGCTTTTAACCGCTGAGCCATCTTTCCAGCCCCCTCCTGAGTGAATTTTTAAGGAAAACAACTCTTACAAAAGACATGCTCCACAATAATTACATTAAACCTGATTATCACATTATTACAATTACTGGGTCAGAAAATACATTTATGCACCTCTTTTTATTTTTTACCTTTTTTATTAGGGGGATGGGGGGCGGTCTGTGAAGAGGTCAGAGGACAACTTGTAGGAGTCAATTCTCTGCTTCTATCATGTGGGTCCCAGGGATGGAACTCAGGTCCTCAAGCTTGTAGACAGACACCTTTATCCGCTAAGCCATCTTGCTGGCCCCTTAAGCACCTCTTGTATTCCAAATCTCTAATGTAGGTTCCCAGAGTATAAAGATGAAAGAGAAGCCAGGTGTGGTGGCGCACATCTTTAACCCCAGCACTCAGGAGGCAGAGGCAGGCTGGAACTCTGAGTTTGAGGCCAGCCTGGTCTACATAGCGAGTTCCAGGCCATCTGGGGCTACAGGAAGACCCTGTCTCAAAAAGACCAAATAAATAAATAAATAAATAAATAAATAAATAAATAAATATAGATTCAACCCTTGTCCTCCTGGGCTTGATGGCCTAGATGGGTGTCTTAGTTTGTTCTTCATTGCTGTGACAAAACACTCTGACCAATACCAACTTGGGGAGGAAAGGGTTTATTTGTCTTACAACTCCCAGGTCGCAGTTCATCAGGGAGCCCAAGGTAGGAACTCAGGGCAGGAACCTGGAGGCAGGAGCTGGAGCACAGGCCATGGAGGAACGCTGCTTACTGGCTTTCTTCCTAGGCTCCTGCTCAGCCTGCTTTCTTATGCAACACAGGCCCACCTGCCCAGGGGTGGCACCACCCACAGTGGGCTGGGCCCTCCCACATCACTCATCAAGAAGATGCCCCTCAGACATGGCCACAGGCCAGTCCAATAGAGGCAATTCCCCGATTGAGGCTCCCTCAACCCAGGTGTGTCAAGTTGACACTAAAGCTATCCAGCACAATGGGATAGAGTCATTAAGGAAGTAATTACATAGTTATTCCCCCTCCCCAGGATTCTGGGCATGGAACCCAGGTCAACCACTAAGTACCCGCTCTAACCATTGAGCTACCACCTCAATTCCACAAGTAGTTAATTATAATATTGATCTTCTGCCTATTTATTTATTTATTTATTTGGTCTTTTTGAGACAGAGTCTCTCTGTAGCTCCAGTTGGGCTGGAACTCACTATGTAGACCAGGCTGGCCTTGAACTCACAAAGATTTGCCTTCCTCTGCCTCTGAGTGCTGGATTAAAGGAGTGTACCACCATGCCTGGTTGTCCTGCCTACTTACAATCATTCTCCTGTTTGCCATTTCATGCCTTTCTGGCTTTGCAGCCTTCAGCTCCCTGAGAAAAGAGATTGTGATCTGCGCTTATTCTGACTACAGTCTCCTGAAGGGTGTGGCCATGTATAAGGGGGAAAGAACAACAGTAATTGCTGGAGGAACAGGCATCCTGAAAAGTGGAAGACATCTTGAAAACATGTTGAAACCCATTTGTCAGTCTCTTAACTGTGGCGGAAACAGCTGAAGAAATCAAGAATGTGTGCATTCCCGGGAGGTGGGGACTTTT